TCGCGGGCAGGAAGGGGGGAGAGCGGGGGGGGGAGGGGGGAGGGGGAAGGGGGGAGGGGGTTGGCAGCAGTGGGTGGTGTTTATAAAAAGTCCAGGTGGCGGTTTTTGGGTCAATGACGTGCAAGATCTCTGCTTTGCTGCGTCGCTGATTTCTTACGTCTCTTCCGGGCTTAAGGGAGAAAGAAGGCGATCTCCTTTCCCTTCTCTCTATTTCCTTCTCTCTCTCTCTCTCTCTCTCTCTCTCTCTCTCTCTCCCCCTGTTCTGCTTTGACTTCCGTCATCTGCAGCGTTGAAGGTTTTGATTTTTGCTGATTATCCCTAACTTCCCGTATCGATCTTTGTCGCCTTCTCTCACCGCCGTTATCTCTCTGTCTCTCGCTTTCTTTCTCCCTCTGTTTGCCTTCAGCAACGCTATATATTGCTCTCAAACAATCACGGGGCTTGGTTCTTGGCCCTCTACTTTTGCCCACTCGACCTTCTGTGGATTCGAGGTTGATGTCTTATAGCATCTCTTTTGATGATTTGATTGATCAGAGCATGATTGATCAGAGCATGTAATTAGACAGAATAATCTGTGTGCATTTGTGTGAAAGATTGATGCTGATGGATGAAGATTGACCGTCGATCTGTGTGGAAGATCTGTGGTCAATCAATCTCTGTTGGATGAAGATTGATGATGAGAGCAATGAAGAGAGACGACTACGCCGGTGATGATGATGATGATGATGATGAAATGCTGCTAGTGATGGTGATTAAAAGATGATGATAACACTGTTGATGATCACGATGGGGAGAAGGGAAATGAGGATCTTGACGATATCCACAGTGATATAGTTCTGGACCATCCCCGTAGACTGTCGAGCCTCTGGTGAGAAAGAACGTGAAATCCGAGTCCACCAGAAGTAATTAGCCGTTTTTTCTGACAGCGCATGGCAGGTTACATTGACGTTTACGAAGTGAACTTTCATCCGTCCGTTCTCTGAACTTTCATCCGTCTGATCTCATCCCTTGTTCTTGGTTTTCTTCTTCTTCGTCTTCTGCTCTCTTCACCTTGGATCGAGGCAGAACTTGCTCCGCGTCACTTCTCTGAACTTTCATCTGTCAGTTCTCTGAACTTTCACGTCGGCCCTTGCATTAGGGAGTGGGAGAGAATTCCTGCCGCGATCTCGACTGTGTGTGAGAGCGCGATTCCACGAACGTTGAACTTGCGCGCGCTCGTCTTAGATAGTGTGCTTTTGTTTGCGTGCAGAGTGCGTTTGTGTGTGTGTGTGTGTCTCTGAGAGAGAGAGAGAGAGAGAGAGAGAGAGAGAGAGAGAGAGAGAGAGAGAGAGAGAGAGAGAGAGAGAGAGAG